CAGGAAGACAAATCGAGAAATGCGTTTTGATGAGGAACATCAGCGTTGAAAGCAGGTAGATATTGTTAGTTTCGAATAAACGGGTGTACAACCAGTTGTTTCCGAAATTCATACATACCTGTCCCATTATCACTATTTTATTCAATCAATTTTGAATACAAAGGTTACAATATTGATAATCATTCTTCCTATTATATCTGCTACATTGATATGTTAATAAATATAATAATGAAGAGAAAAAGAATATACCTTCACTCCAGACTAAAAAGCTACCCGATGATAGTAGGCCACCCCTGATCTTATGACTTGAAGTCCAGAATAGAAGACCAAGTGGAGCAAAAAAAAGAAAAAAACAGAAGAGTAATGTTTTTTTGACTTATTATTCTGCTGGTGGAAGTATATGAATAAACGTTATCAAATACTTCGTCGTTGTTTTTTCCGTATTAGAACCGTCCGGATGTTGGCGCTAATGTAGTAACACTCACCACAAACTGTAATACTAATCAGACATATTTCTATCAGACAAAGTTAAAAAGCGGAATAGTTTCTACGAAACAACTTAATAAAAACAATACACTCAGTAACGGGGTATATTCGGGACCTACACTCTAAAAACTATGCGACTTCAGTGATCTGTCTGCCTGCCGAGAAAAAGTGCCTTGTATGTGATTAGATTGCGTCTTCAAAATAATAGGTGTCTTCTATATGTCTTCAATCTGTCTACTAGTAGGCATATAGAAGTCACAGTGCAGTCGCATGGAAGACATGTGAACGAGAAAGACGCTTAGTAGCGAAAGCTGAGTCTAATTGAAGATGAGATGGTAGTGCACGGTCTGAAATCCTAAATGATGCTTCTTTGGAAACCATCAGTACCCTGCGTTTTGTTACATATGTCATTTGATGTATCCCATGTAGGTGGCTCTCTGGTCAAAGGTTGAGTCAAATTGAAGGTGGGCTGGCGATTCAACGTTTAAAATCGTTCATTATGATTTTTTGGAAACATTTTTAGTGTATAAAACAATTTTTTCTCATCAATTTGGAATTGAACCGAAATAATTTTGCCATTAGATAGCCCAAACATTGGGAATTTTCTTCTGATGTTTTTCAATGAAACAATTTCTTGACGTAGCTGAAAAAATTGTATTTTAGGAATCGAGGCGAATTTTGAGCAAAGTTTTATAGCATGAGTTTCCCAGTGTTGCTTTTTAGATAAAAATCTGTCCTTCGTGAAAAAGATAGAACACATATTGGTGCATTTATTCCATTGTTCAAATTTTAAAAAAAGACACTTTCGTCAAATGTCCACCTGGGTGCCCACTGTGTAGTGAAGTAAAGAACAGTACTGCCTTGAAATAAAGATTGATGCAGTAAGAATAAAGAAATTCTGTATACGAAGTATAGTTATCTGTATCATTTGTCCACGATTTATTATTTGTTCGGGCACTAACCAATACAAAAAAATGCTCAAAACAAGTACAAGCGGGAACTTTCTCATATTTATTTGCTAAAACAAAAGCAGTTCATAATTAAAATTTAACAAGTAGAGCAATCATGTTGATTCATACATTAAATATTGGCTACAACAAATCCAGTCCCATGGAAACATTAAAAAATAAGTCTACTAATCATTCTCAAAACTTTAGCATAAGATCAATTTTGTTTTCAAGCTACTAAACCCATTTCAGTCGTTCAGCGAAAAACTTCAGTCGTGGCAGTATTTTGCTTCAACAAATTTGACCTAGAAGACTGTGTGAAAAGACCAAGTTTTAAGCGATATAGCAGCCGAGTAAATTGATAACATATTTATTTGTCACAATCATTCGACCTTCATCGGTAAAGAAAAGCTGTCGAAAACTACAATATTATCTGAAAACAAATAAATCTATAAAACATTAGTAAACTCTGTTAGTGTCAATGAAATGTATTCAAACTGGTAGACTAAAAGCTGGAGTTTGTACGTGCAATAACCATAGATATTAATATCTGTCCACTGTCTATGTTTTAACTGGACTATCCCGGTCCCTTGACACTTAAAGGTAAAATATCTCTTTTCATGACATCTGGATACACGTATAGAGGCACAGAAAGATTCGTGCCATTAAGTACGGGTTTTATACCCTAATAACTATTCATTCTTTTATCAAAAGTTTATACTTATGCTTTTCTTTCAACAAAATCGTTTTTTGGAATTTTATCTTAGACTTTTCTTCACCGACTTCTAGGGTTTCTAAAATTGAAAAAATTTGGTTTTTGAGACGGTTTTCAGTAACTCGATCAGAAAAGGTCTCAAAAATATTTCTCAAAAATGACCTCTGCGGAATGGCGATGAGTATCTCTGGTAAAATTTTTAACTCGAACGGATGAAATTTAAGGGGGGCCGTAATGTGACACAATGAAGTCTGGTAGCAAAAAATAGCAAAAGAATAGCAAAAAAGTAATTATCATTAAAGAGATTGAAAAGCCTAATATCTTTAAAGGCATTAGAGATTCAAATGAATTGGAAGACAGTTAATAGTGAATCTTATCCGAATCAGTAATAACGTTGCATCGAAAACAAATATCTCATCGAACAGAGATTATCACATTCTCTAAAAACAGACTAACATGCATAAGTGCTACGAGAAGAGAAAAAGAAAGAAAAATGATGAACGCCTTATGACTTGGATTTGGTTCGGACTCGACATCCTCCCGTACTCGCGGATGCCTGAGTCACACTGCGAACATAATTTGATACCTAGGTATTGCGCGTCATGATACTAAACATCTCAGTCAACATCAGCTTCTCCTGTCGATCCGTTCAAATGCACTGATGTATCGGACTTCCGCACTTACGATGATCGCAGGTGTATACGCTTGCGATGATCTAGACGAGCCGCGTGCACTGAGCTGCTCTCAGCGGTGCGTGTAGAAACAGCTCGTTCGTTGTGCCGTGTAGAGTCTGTTTCGTGAATAGTTACACTTGTTGTGTTGTAGTTTACTACTGGCAGTGCCGAGTCATGACTTATATTCAGAGCGGCCTATACGATTATCCCGAGTGGACTACAAATCCCGATCGATTTATAATCAAGATTCGAATCGAGATATCTTTGGATCCCGATCTGGCTGTATTACTAAACATGTTCAAGAAATTATTGAAAAACAAAACCAAAGGCACTTTAAAGCTTGAAGTAAAAACAAGGAAATATTGATTGAATTGTGGTGATCCTTCGAGCACAAAACTAATTTGTAATTCTCAAAAAAGCGTAACTTCTTTTTCTTTTAACATATCAGCATTAGACAGAGCATAAAAAGTTGTTCATTTGATATAGATTCTTCGTTGCTACAGTTTACGATCAGTTACAACAACAAAATACGAAAAGAAATGTAGACTTTTGTCGATTTTGGGGTTGTATCTTGAATTGTTCAACCACTTCTCTGGCGGCTTTGCATTCCAGTAATCAACTTTTATTTTTTCAAAAACAAAAGGTTTTTTGAAGAAGTCATAAACAAGGCATGGGTGAGTCCGGGAGGATGCCGAGTCCGAACCAAATCCAAGTCATGAAGCGGGCATTCCGAGTCACTGTCTTTGAAATGTAGTCGCGAGTCCGATTTCCGAGTCCATTTCGAGTCCAATAATTTTTTCAAACTTTTTCCGCTGTAGTTATTTAAATTTCTTTTTTCTCCTGTGCCGTAAAGTATATCTTTTAAAAATAAAAATAAAAAGTTTTTTTTGAAGAAATCAAAAACAACCTGTTCCGGATATATTTTATATGCTCATCAAAATACGCAAATATTCCGGACAAAGGAATAGATCTCAGTAGTCAGAGAGGATAGGTGAGTAAACGCTGAAAGTTTTATCGAGTTTGAAGAACATTTTACATAAAGTGGGAGGTTTTCCATGGAATCATCCATATTATGCAAATCTAGACCGTACATACCGGAAAAACGAGTAGTGGTACATTCATGATGAACGGATGTGCATTGAGTTAAACTTATCTACACTATATTTCACGCGTCGTCTGATACTAAACAACAGTAACAACATCAGTAGAATGAATCGTGAAGTTTTCGCAAATCACAAACAAATTCAGCAAACGTTACATATTAAAAGCGGCCACGCATACTGCTCACAGGCTGGATCCGCCACTGCAATTCTGTAATAAAATGTGGATTATTATTGTGACAATTATTCTTTTATTTATACTTCTAATAATAGCGGCCGTTTTTGCTACAGATTTTTGACGTCTTTATCAAAAATCAAGTGACTGACAACTTTTTTTTTCTAAAATCGAATTTAGAACATTTTTGATGGAGATCAAAAGATCGTAATCTTGCTCATGACCGCCTTCCGCATTCAACAGCGTTCATCATTTTTCTTTCTTTTTCTCTTCTCGTAGCACTTATACATGTTAGTCTGTTTTTAGAGAATGTGATAATCTCTGTTCGATGAGATATTTGTTTTCGATGCAACGCTATTACTGATTCGGATAATTCAGCAAACGTTACGTATCAAAAACCGGCCGCTCATACGGCTCACAGGCTGGATCCGCCACTGCAATTCTGCACTGATTCGGATAAGATTCACCACATAGTGAAACTAAACATGTTTCACATGTAAATAAGCCCGAAAAGAGAAGGCAAAGCACCTGATATGAAGTGCATGAGGATCGCGCGCTGATTCACCTATAACAATAAATTGATCGTGCCAGGGCACTCTCAGCATTTTAATACGATCAAGAAAAAAAAGACAACAGAGGCACTGCATGGTTACCTCAACATAACGATATCTCATCTCTTATTTTCACACTACCTTAATGGCAACACCCAGAAATTTGGCAGCCAACATCGACTTCATGTGTCAGAATTAGACAGACTTGTCACACTTTCATCAACACTATGCGAGTCAAACACTTCGGTTGCCTATTTCAGCAGTACACGAGAATCTGTCTAAAAATATTGAACTAACTCATATATGGTAGTATATGACGACTGTTTTTGTATTTCTACTCTGTATTCTATTGTCAATCATCGCTAATTGGATACCATGTATCCGGTTTGCACGATTTAAACCCACAAAACCAGAAGAGACCGTATGTATGTAACATAAATAAAAACACTATACTCATGTGTCTTATCCATTTCACTTGTCGAATTATTTTCCGTGCCTTTTCAGGTTGTCGATTTGGGCCATATAGACGATATTGAGCATTGATCAATGGTGCGCACATACATTTTAACCAAATGTATGGCTCAGTAAAGAACATTTTTACGAGCGGTGGTCGACATCCAATTTCACGCGCAAGCTCGTCCAAATATACGGCATGATCAGTTAAACTAACAATGCGATTCGTTCTGTATGTTGTGTATCGGACTTCTAAATATTTAACATACTCCTTACTTTTTCTTATCAATGTCTGTTTATCGGGTAACGATACTTTTTTTGAACACAACAAAGCGTACCATCTTGCTTGCATTTCGGATAGTGGTGGTATGGCGCCAAAACATGGTCGAGCAAAACCAATGAAGAAGAGCTCATCACCAGTATCGGGATGAACACAATGTTTATATAGGTCATGTGATATACGCGCTTCATGAGCAACTTTGGAAACTAACTTTGAATGTACTGGATCGGCTTCTTTGTCAGGTGTATCAAGATAAGGAAATTCATTTTGAAATCCTGTACAACACACAATTTCATCTATTTCTTCTTCGCTTCCATCGTCGAATATAACTGTTTTTTCCGTTAGTTCTCGAATGTCCGGTTTCCGTTCACATTTATAACGGATAAGTGCTTCGACGAGGCCATTATTTTTTGTACCATATGTATTTTTACTATTGCTCGTTTTTATTTGCTTTAAATTCATCTTCAATGTTGCTTTTCGAAGTGAAAAATCCTGTCCAGTCAATAGTCCAAGAATATATGCTTTAAAAAGATTAATCATAATAACCAAGAAATTGAAAGAAACACCCCATTCGTACGGAATTGATGTTCGTACACGAGTCGTATTGAGATCAGATGGACCATGTGGACCATTTGTATACCGTGGCACAATCCAACCGTGGTCCGCTCTTATCGATATAAACGATGTTTTACCATGTTTAGCGGCGGCCAAAGTCATATCCGATGCACCCTCACCACTTCCAACAATACACACGCGATGACCAGTAAATTCTTCAAACGTTTTCACATCTCGTAAATGCTTTATTTTCCCTTGAAATTTCTCCTGACCAGCGAAATAGGGCACAGCTCGTTTATGGTGGGTACCAGTACATACGACGATACGATCAAACTGGTAGACCTTCTCTTTTTCATTACCTTCGCCGACACCCTCCATTACTCGCACTTTCCATTTACCCGTTGTTACATCTTTCCATACAGTTTGAATGTTAGTTCGAAAATGAATATGCGATCTCAGTTTAAAGTGATCAGCATAATCATTCAAATATTTCGAATACTCAAGGAAACTCCAACATCGTGGCTTTCTTAACAATTCTTCATCACCTTCCTCACTGTTACCACCAACAAAGTCACTAAACATTGTTACTACATTACTACTAACCATAAAACCTTGTTGATAAACGTCAGTGAATAGACCACCAATCACATTCGATTTTTCAAATACAGTTCCGTCATGTCCTTCGTCGAGAATTTCTTTCAACGTGACCAAACCACTAGCACCACAACCAAGAATTCCAATGTTCAGCTTTTTATCCATGACAGACAGAACTGCTAGCTCTCACCGATTAGTAGAAGTACACTGATTTCTAGAAAATGATATATATTTGTATTACTACGTGTTTCATGCCCCATTAAACATTCTTCGGTAATGGTTTCACTGGTGCACTCATGCGTAAAATTATTTAGAAACATTTACTTTTATAACTCTAACTGAAAGTCTGAAAAAAAGCATCGTCTCCTTCGTAGTTAGCTGTGGCTAGTGGCAATTTTAAATATTGTCAATGATCGATTTCTTTAAGGAATATGGACGCGTTGAGAGTTTCTGTTGAAATATGACCCTCATGTTGCTTTCTTGCAAGAAAGTCTTCCGATGAATGTCACAGACGCTAGTGAATTGAACATAACTGGGTACAGCCTACGCATCCACCCCCGTTCACGCCTGCTTTAACAGTGGGCGCTTTTTCTCAATAAATCACTGAACCATATGATAGTTAGCTCACATACTGTGAAGTAGCATACCTTTTTGATGGAAGTTCTTGAAACATTATCCGTTGAATTGCTTCCACACAAACTTCTCTTACGATATAACTGAGCGAAATTGATCTCTGATATTCTCCCGCCTCATTGTAGCTGGAAGCGTGAATAGGTCAAATGCTACAAAAATATTGATATTTCTGATCTCAAGCTCGCTGGAAATATTTCTGTCTGTCTAATTGCTATATAATGTGGAATGGATGAGATGCTTAGAGAACTGTATTAAGGGGCAGTTCTCTGCTGGATTTTAGGCGTTCATCATTTCAACGTCTAATTATTGTCGAACATGATGGAATGCGTAAACTTAGCTAAAGCGTTTAGTGCATGACACAAGATGCACAGTTTCCCATTGCTGCAAACTCAAAAATCGCGAAATAACTTCTTTCTACATATTGAAGCGTTCTACTCTCTAAAAAAAGGTACTCTACCGAACCTAAAAAGGGGTTTAAACTTTTGTCACCATCAATATACCTTTTTAAGGTTTCATACAAACTACGAAACCTTTTAAGGTTTCACACAGCATCCTAAATCCGTCACTGGAAAAAATTTCTGTAAAAACTCAAAAAAAAGTGTTTTCTCACTGTTCCTATATAGTTATATAGATGGTGACAAAAGTTTAAACCTTTTGTAGGTTCGGTAGAGTACCTTTTCTTTTTCGAGAGTAGTCAAACTCACGAGAAATTTATCGTGGTTATTGTACATTACTAAAATTATTTAAAAATATAATGAATGTATTATTACGCTCATTACGCGGTTTTATTCATTGAAAAACTATAACATTTATCGATGCGGCCAGTAAAAGAATCAGTGACATATTTCATAGCGTTGGTATATTCGAAGTCGAGACGTGGTGTAATTGAGTTTTAGGAACGCTCTGACTCAGAAAGGACGTGAACTAGTATCTTAAGAAGGGTTTTTCGAATTTTAACGAAGACATGTATTTTCTATGTAGATTGGTGGCGAAAAGTGAACTTTATTCAGCTGTTAAGCATTCTTTAGTTCCACGCCCATTCACGCCTACTTTAACAGTTGGCGTTTCTAAAAATAGAAAAAGTAAATGCGAAATAATTTTTTTCCGCATTTTGAAGCGTTCAAGTCAATGTCACGAAACATTTACCCTTGTTACTGTAAATTATTATTAGAATTATTTAAAAATATAATGAGTGTATTATTACATTCATTACGTGGTTTTATTCATTCAAAAAACTATAACATTTTCGATGCGGCAAATAAAAAAAGCAGTGAATTACTTCATAGCGTTGGATGTACTCTAATTCGAAATGCGGTGTAATTGAGTTATAGAATCGCTCTGACTCAGAAAGGACGTGAACTAGTATCGTAAGAAGGGTTTTTCGAATTTTGACGAAGACATGTATTTTCTATGTAGATTGGTGGTGAAAAGTGAACTTTATTCATCTTCTAAGCATTCTTTGGTTTTCTAATAAATGCGACTTTTCTCAAAGATCAAAAACAGTGGATATGTCAAACTTGTACCTAAAATATTCCCGTAGTCTCACCCACTCTGATTTTACACACAGTAGGGAATACTTTCAGGTATGTTCATCTTATATATTAACAAAAAAGCATGTGAAGATGCCTCCCTATATTATGACAAAAAGTCTAACAATAGTATATCAATATTACATGACACGGAGGACTACCAACTGAGTGCATCCGCCAGGCTTTGAAGCACATTACTAGACGCAGTTTTTTGCGCTGATTACGAATATCAACTTCAAAACGAACGCAATTCTAATTTTTAAATCGAAAATTCGAATGTAAAACTTAGAAGCTCTTTTATTTCAATTTTGTGACCTATTTAGCTTTTTGAAAAGTTTCGGAAAGTATATCAGTGGATAGAGAATTAAATTCTCTAGAAAATGCACCATTGACTTTGTCCAAACAATCTTAAAAAATGCATTTTACACACTAAACAAGCTTTTGCTTGTTTTTGCCGAAATGGAAATGCCTTTTTTGGAGCAATTTTACGAAAATCAAAAACATTTTTCCTACCGTTTTTTTTGCTTAATTTGATAGAAAGCACTCGATTGCATAACGCTCCGTACAAATCAAATTTATATAAGTCCTTTTACCGATTGAAATATAATCATAAACCCACCGCAAAAGAAAGAAAAAATTGTATGTAATTTCGTACCATTTTGCTCGTTTCTTTTTTAATTAAGCATTTTTAGGTAAAAGTAAACAAATGATTCGAAAGCTCCTTTTATGCTCTACAGCTTTTGTATTAGACTTTTTTCTGAATATGTCGCGTTTTAGAGCATTTTTCAAAGTTTATGGGGCACTAGAAAAAAAAGGCTAAAAGATGTAATTCGGCCACAACATCTATTTTACTAATAAAAACCGTTTTACTTAATCCATTCATTCTAAATTTTTCCCAAAAAGCCAAGCATTCTATCGCATATCTCTGATAAAAGTCTCGTTACCTTTTGTTCATTATTTGAGGAGAAACAGAGCCCAAAAGTTGAAAAAATGTAATTTCGTCACGTGCGTTTAGACCGAAAACAAATTTAACTCAATATCGTCCATTTTATCTTTCTCGATCTGACAATATTACTAGTTTGGGCAAGGTCGGTATCGCCTATTTCGTCAATATACCATTTTATTTAAAGAGGATTGTACTATAGAAAATGGTTTTCCTTCGGGATACTAAACTTGATGTTGCTAATAAGCACGTGCACAAAAAGATCGAAAATGTAGATGGTATTCAAGGAGATAAGAAAAAAAGAGAAGAGAAGGACAGAAGCTTGAAAAATTAGTATAATAAATTGCAATAAAAAAATTTCTAAGCGAAGGTGGATAATGTGATAATGACGAGAAAGATAATATGATGAGTTATGAAGCAAAACATTTTGTATACTCCATGTACTGATGTATGTGCTCCAATAAGAAACAATCTTGTTCTACACTCTACCAATCGTGCCCTGTTAAAATCTTTTCTCTACGGGAGTAAGTGTTGATATCCCGTCCAAAATGATGAGATTTCTGAGATAAGCAGGGGTAATTTTATTTTGTGAATAATATCAATCTGTTGTACTTTATCAACTGTCTTAGTTTTATTTGTAGTTTCAGCATCTTTGTTGTTTTTCTCTAGAGGAACGAGATTTTTACATATTCGGAGTCTTGGCGACGAATTGTACGACGCAACGATCTCGTCAGACTCCCGACAGTTTTTGGACCCTTATTCGCCACTGTGAGTTACCACGGTATATTACACTAAATTCAACAGTGGACATCAAACACACGTCGTTTAGCTTTATTCTCTTGATCTTATTTTTCTTGCGTCCCATATATTTTCCATATGAGCTCATATGTGTTTTACGTTAGTTTTCTTCAGAACAAAATAACGAAAGGAAAAATTGTATACTTTTATCGAAACGTCATTTGTTCTATGTTCGAAAGAAGCAGTGTTTACTGTGAATTCATCCTATATTCTGCCAACTTCTCGAGTTGAAATTAAATTAACTAGAGAGGATCCTTTTCTATTTTCAGGTTCACTCAGGCGTACAATTATTTCGAAACATTTACTTTTGGTGAACTATAATTGAAAGTCTGAAACAAAGCATCATCTCCTCAGCAGCTAGCTGCAGCTAATGACAATTTTAAATCTTGTCAATGATCAATTTGCGTATGCAATGCACTCAATGGAGCGTGAATAGGACAAGTGCTACAAAAATATTGATCTTTCTGATCTCAAGCTCGCTGGAACTATTTCTGTCTGTTTAATTGCTATACAATGTGGAACGGACGAGATCCTTGAAGAACCGTATTAAAAGGCAGCTCTCCGTTCGACATTAAACGTTCATCGCTTCAACGAACCACGGAGAAGTAGTAAATTAATTTTTAGTTTATTGTCCAACATGATGGAACGCGTAAACTTAGCTAAAGCGTTTAGTGCATGACACAAGATGCATAGTTTCCCATTGCTGCAAACTCAAAAATCGCGAAATAACTTCTTTCTACATATTGAAGCGTTCTACTCTCTAAAAAAAAGGTAGTCTACCGAACCTAAAAAGGGTTTCTAGTCAAACTAACGGAAATTTATCGTGGTTATTGTACATTTTAAAAATATAATGAATGTATTATTACGTTCATTACGTGGTTTTATTCATCGAAAAAACTATAACATTTATCGATGCGGCCAGTAAAAGAATCAGTGATATATTTCATAGCGTTGGTATATTCGAAGTCGAGACGTGGTGTAATTGAGTTTTACGAACGCTCTGACTCAGAAAAGATGTGAACTAGTATCGTAAGAAGGGTTTTTCGAATTTTGACGAAAACATGTATTTTCTACGTAGATTCGTGGTGTAAAGTGAACTTTATTCATTTTTTAAACATTCTTTAGTTTTCCAATAAGTGCGACTTTTCTCAAAGATCAAGAACAATGGATATGTCGAACTTGTACCTAAAATATTCCCGTAGTCTCACCCACTCTGATTTTACACACAGTAGGGAATACTTTCAGGTATGTTCATGTTATAT